TACCAAAATTATTGAGTTTGATATCATTGGAAAGATCAGAAAAATATACACATATTGTGACGTCACTTTGTAATTATTATGACGTAATAACTCCGAAAATGACGTCTGAATATAGAATGTTTAGTATACTGGATATTATATATATTACTAAACTATTTTCAATCATCCAAAACGATTTTATTTCAATAGACAAGCGATATTCAAAATTTTACATTGGTGTGTAAAATTAAAACCGGATCCATAAAAGTGTGGACCTGCCTTAAAAATTGTCTCATGTGGATAAAAACGCGACTTTTCAGTATGCTAAACATTCTATATTCTGACGTCTCTTTCGGAGTTATTACGTCATAAAAATTACAAAGTGACGTCACAATATGTGTATATTTTTCTGGGCCCTGGTCTTTCCAATGATATCAAACTCAATAATTTCCGTGAAACGGTAATTTTTTTTATCAAACAGTTCTCGGAACTTTTGAAATGCCCCTCGTAATTTGAAACAAAGCAGAAATCACCTTTATGATCCCTTTTCAAACAGAGTGCATGATACAAAGTTTATAAGATGTGATTGATGCCAAAGATTGAACTTCAATGTTAAATATTCTTCTTCATGCCTTTTTTGACCAACACTGGACGAACAACCAATTAAGCCTATTAAGTTCTCAGCACATATTAAAAATCGCAAAATGGCTACTAATGGTAATGACTCTAGATCTTAACGTAATTTCCCTTTATGACTGTCTTCCGTTTCTTTCATATTTGGATGTTTGACTGATTTTAGAAATACATGGCAAAATAAAAGACAAGCGGGGTGTTTTGGCTTTCCATTGATCTTATGTCTCGCAAAGTAGTCCCAAAATAATCAGCATGCTTTGAGAAGGATCAACTTTTTTTAAAAAAATGAAGGGCGAAAAAGAATAATATATCTCCTAAGTGCAAGTGAACTCCAGATTTAATCTATGCTGTGATCAAAAGAATTTTTTAATCAAATCTGAATCAATAATAGAATCAATTAAAGAAACTAAATGATTTTAAAATGCAAACATTTAAAAAGTGACATCGAATTGAAGTAGACTTTTCTTGTAGACTTTGATCGATTGTGAATCCCTCTCAGACTGAAGGGCCATTAAAGGGCCATTAAATAAATTTAAATTTAGACTTTAGAAGGGAGAATAAGAGAATATAGAGTATAAACGGGGTAGTTATATAGTTGAGGAAATTGAAATCTTTAAACAATTATTTGTCAGTTTTGAATATTTGCACTATTTTCAAAAAGCAAACTAATTATCAAATTAGAATATCCATACCCATTCCGGATTCCTAACTTAAAAAAAAATCCTTACGAACAAAGATACGTAGTGGGTTATACAGTAAATGTTCTTCCAAGTTCCTTACATGACTCCGAATGCACTAAAATATTAAGAGCATGGAAAGAAAAACCTCGGAAATACTGTACAACAATATATTCGAAAAGTAATCAGATGTGTTATTGTTCTTACTGAAAATTTATTTATAGCTTTTGGAGATCTTCCAGCAATCTGTCGGAATTCCCATGGGTACTAATTGCATTTGTTGTTAGCAGAACTAAATTTGTATTCATACGAAAAAGAATTTATTCAGAAACTTTGACATGAAAAGACGAAGTCTCTTGTTGTGGCCTTTAATTCTGCATCTAGATATTGAAGGCATTTTATCGAGGAACAATATTCATTTTCATTCCCACGTTGGAACGGCATTCATATTTTGAACTAGGGAAAAAATCCACAAAGTCTGACACATTTGTTTCATATTTGGAGATTTTATTAGATAAGGACGTAAATGGAAACCTAACAAAGTTTGTAACAAATTCAAAGTAATGACTTCCACTGTTCAAGTGTTTCTCAAATGAAGCAAGCTCTCGGCAAACAAGTTGGTTAAACAAGGAAATCAACTGTCTCATTATAAGACATTTTGCTTTGAGATCTGTGTTTGCTTTGCTCCTAATCTGTTTTGTCTAATTAGACCTTTGACAGTTTGAGCTTAATTAATGTTAGTTATTTTACTATTTCATCTTAAACATTTTCCCCTATAATGTCTTGGCCACAATTTAGCACTGGACAACTTGAAGCTTGGGAGACATTTATATACTACAATAACTATTCATAAAAAAAACCTTAAACATCCTTAAACGATCTTGTGTGAAAATCCTTCCTCCATTTGTTCACTACATCACTACTTCCAAATGTGAATCTTACAAGAGTCAACTTGAACTAAAATATTTTCACATCTACACTGAAAGGACAAGTTACCAACAAATGTTATTTCGAAGAGTGAATTTTGATAAACCCTATAAGAATCTTTTCATATCACTACAAAAATTATTCAATAATAGTAAAAAAGAGGAACATAAGGACCTTCGATCCTGAGATTTTGAGTGGATTTTGGTCATGTCCTTTATTTATAAAATTCTAAATCATTTTTTAAATTCTAGCATAAAATCGGAATTCTACAATGCAAATTGAACTATATTCAATGAAAAAACTGCGATTTAATTCCATTCAAGTAGAATTAAACTAGGGAATATATTTTGTGGCGGAAGGACTTTTAGACGAAAATGATCAGTTTTTCCCTTTTGAACTATAACAGTACTGTTAATTTTGGTTTCCATTTTTTTTCCTGCTGGTTGCACACAAAGCTGTTTTTTGCAGTGATATGTGTTAGGCTGGTTCTGAAATATCTATTAAATTATTTCTTATGAATTCTATCCACAAAGTGTGACAAATATAGTATATATATTGAAAATTCGGGGAAAAAATGAGCCAATTTTAACGTAAAATTAACACTTTTTTAGTAATATCTGAAAATTTACATCATATACCCCCACTTTTGATGTTCTTTTCTAAATATTCAAGATAACTTTGACCTGTTTGCTAAAAATCAGAAAAAGTTTAACACTTTAGAATAATTTTCTTGCTTATTAAATTTTCAATACCAGAAAAAATCACATTTTATTACTGCAGAAAGGTCAAATAATTGATAATGCGAAGCAATTAGAAACTTTTTCTTAGCCACAATTTTAAAGTGTCTTTTTTTATACAGACTTCGAGTTCATTTTGTTTCAGGCTTTAATTGGATAAAATTATTGAAGGTAAAATGTCGAAGATGTAATTTTTAATTAAATCACAAATTTCAGTGCAAAAAGGTCATATTAAATGCACTGTAGCACCAAAAGAAGCATATTGACCCTCATTTTATTTATTTGAATTTTAATTCAGCTATGTATGTAAAAACTAAAAATATACTTGGCAAAAAAAAGTTTAAGACTTTAAATATCAGGATCGAAAGTCATTAATGGAGAATTTTGCTATAAATAAAAAAATAAGAGAGCAATACAGTGATTTTAACCCCTTTACATTTATAGCCTGCAAAAGCGGATGGATACCATTTGATGGTCACTGCTACTTACATGTCGAGGAAAAGACGACTTGGGACAATGCAAAGGTACAATAACTGATTTATTTTTCACTTTCTGTATCATAAGTCGCAATGTAACCTATATTTTAAAAAATAACTCACAGAGTATTCTTCCTATGTGTGAGTACAAATACATACCCTCTGAGGGGTACATGATCAGCAACGGATTTTCGATCACTAATTCCTAGCTAATTAAAGGTCATAGGAAACGATTTCTAACACCATAATTTCACTATTAAACCCAAAGCTACATTTGAAAAAATGTTAAATTACGAGTAGTTATATTTTTTAGTCTTTGTTCTGCTGTAAAATTACGATAAAAAGTATTCCACTTGTTATTTTTCTTACCCGCTTATTGTTCTTGATTTTGTGGTTTTATGACGTCACAAAGGCCCACTGATGCAAACAGTTCATTGTACATAATGTAAATCTACTCTATTTTATCAAGTTACTTATATTTTATTTTTGTGAATAACGGCCACAGGCACATGACGTTATTTATTTTTCTTTAAATAAAAAATACCCTTACCTTGGCATTTGATTCAACAATGTGAGAAATTGCTAAAGGGGCCGGGGGCCGGAAGTTTACATCAATATGTAAATAGGAATTCCGTATTTGTCAGTTATGGGTTGATCTTAAGCGGCGTGATGTAATTACTTTGGAATTTTAATAATTTTTCGATTATTGAAGTGTAAAAAATCAAAATAGGAAAAATAAAACATTTTTTGTAAATATACCTTATGAAATATACTGTATTAATCTTCACAGATCGATCGTTGCGTTCAACAATCCTAATTTAAAAAAGGGGTGGGTGCTTGAAATTGAAAAAAAGAACAAAAACAAATCATGTAGAGTTATTGTTCGTTTTTTAAAATGCAATAGACAGCAAACCATCCAATTATATACATATATATACCTGGCATATCACAGGCGCTTGTTTCATACAACAGTCTAGTTTTTTTATACTATATAAACTAGGCTATTGTATGAAACAAGCGCCTGTGCTTAATTAAAAAAACGTGAGAGGGTCAGAGAGTCACACTGATAAAACTATGTAAAGTTCAAATATTAGGTTATGCACGCTATATGTATAATCTGTCACCCAAAAAAAATTGGTTCGGACAATAAAGATAAAAATGTTTCCATACCACTACTTTATTGCAATACATAAAATTGCAGATCTCAACACTCCCTGAAATAATCTTAGAGCGACACCCCCTCCCCTTCACATACGCGCATACATACTTTAACTTTATTATTCATTTATTATCCACCTATATCGAGATTATTTGGGAGTAAAATAAAATTAATATTCTTATATTACGTTGTATTACTATCCGATAGATTGTTTTTGGAATCAGCACTAATTTTAATTGGTTATTTTTGAAATTGAATCTTACAAATATATTGACCAATTAATAAAGGGCTTTCCCTAAGAATTTCAAGTCGAATCATCGACGAATGTAAATTTTCGGCCCCCTTTGGCAATTTCTCGCATTATTGAAGCAGTAGATCGAGTTTGACGGGGGATTTTTTAATATTTGCAAGTGTGATGCGCCCTTATGGTTGCTCTGTCCGTCCGTGTTTAGACCTCGAAATACTGGCCACAGGAAAAATATAATTGCAGGGAATTTATTTTACGGAGTTTCAGACGAAAATACAAGTGGATATGACCGACATAGAAAATTCAAGATGGCGCCCGATAGATACCTTGGTTTATATAAGGAATCACTTTCTAGTTAGTATAGTGTTTGCCTTGAACAGCGACTGGGCCTTTCTGACGTCATAGGCTAAGGGAGATAAGCAACGTAATTCAAAGCTCATTTTCCCAACTAAGTAATTTTGATCAGCTGTGTTGTCGCTATCTTGCATTAAAATCCTGAATAACATTTTCAGTCTAATTTTATCAGCTCAGATGAACCTGTAACTATATGTAGAATTATGTGTATTTATTAACCTTGTACCTTTGGAGAGGGCTTATATAGGCTATGCCTGCTGCCCAATCCGTTTATGTATTTTTTACATGATTAAATATGTTCAAATTCAAAATTAGCTCAGATAAAGTTATTCCCGTATGTAACTCAATATGTTCAGGTATTTGTCTCTTCTGACCTTTAAGTACCAGGTTCATAGTAATTTTTAGATCACTGTAAAAAAAAAAAGATAGAACTCTCCAAAACATTATACGCCTGAAAAAGAAAAATGATGATCCCGGACGAGTCTGATAAAAAATGATGTCTTTGTTTAATTAACTAGAGTAATCTGATATCCTAAATATTTTAAAACATTGTTATTTCATATTAAACGAGTTGTCAGAAAGCAATTTGTCAGTATGTCGCTACATGAATCTAAGGATAAGTATTTATGTTACTGACTTGTGTTTCAGAGTGAATGTAAAAAATACAATTCGAAACTGGTTGAAATCGAAACAGTCAGAGAACTCGTGGCTAGAGGAAACTTTTTTGCCCATTGAAGGTAAAACAAGTATTCGTTGTAAAGGGAAAAAAGTTTGGGAAATGTTGTATTCAGATGTTAAAATTTCAAAAAAGGAATTTAATACAACAAATAGTAACTGCACGAATGAATAAACACTAAAAGGAGAAAAAAGTAAATACAAGTGAGGTTTTCCAAAGAAAATGTGTACTTCTTGTACTTCTCTTTAGACGTGAACAAAAATTTTTTTGGATATAGAGAAAACCTAGATTTGTAGTAATTTTTGATGTATCTTTACAAATGTTTGCATCTCCAGAGACAAATGCAATAAAATTATGTTCTTTTGTACAATGCATTTGTCAGTGCGTATAGAAAACAGAATCGAATAAGTCGCATCATTCGCAAATGATCTCCCCCATCATGAGATGGTATCAACTGTTCAGACAACAAAGATTTCTATTACTTTTGATTTTGAACCACTTAGAAAACACAAATGATGAAACTTACAGTTGTCAAAAGAATGCGATGATATTGAATCATTTGAATGGAAAAATTAAGTGCATCTTGTATAGTGATTGCCCAAAGATGGAGCTACCCATAGATGGAAAGAATTTTTTTTAACAAGGTGGATTTATTGGAGCACGACCAAATGTTTAGTAGCATATAGAGGAGAAATGTCATTGCTTTCCCTTTTGACCTTTTGGTTGACCCCGAAAAGGGGCACAACTATGCCACAGTGCGGATTGGACTAATAATCCTTTCTAACCATGTTTTTGACATTTCTAATGACATGATTTTAATTCATGTTAATTCATGTGTTCTAGTTAAAGAAAATACGCTATTGTAATTGGTATTTCAAATTTTTGAGGTATTGCTTTAAATGATTGTAAGGGTATGATTATTACCTCTTTTAATCACATTAATTCGGAGACTTAGTCACTAGTATTTACCTTTTGTATTGCTGTTCTCGTAAATTATAAAGATTCTGGGTTCACTTGATCCGAACTGTTTCCTTTTATTTTGCATCAGGAAATATTCACCAAACGAGGAACCTCACTTTCAAAACAGCATAAACTAACTAAAATTTGATGAATTCTATTATTTGCTGTCGATGTGTTGTAACCATTGAATCTATTTTGTAGATGATTGCCCTTCCTTTTGGATCTGCCTTGTGTGGATCGGGGCAACAGACCGGGATGTGGAGGGAAAGTTTGTTTGGGACAGCGACAAATGCCCTGTCACGTTCTCAGCATGGTACCCTGGTGAGCCAAACAATTTACTAGGTGACCAGGACTGCGTAGGTCTCTTGATTTCTGGACAATGGGATGACAGGCTTTGCAATGAAAGTTTGGGTTTCGTTTGTGAAATGGATCAATTAAAATCAACATAGAGATTCTTGTCCTTTAAAAGTCAAGAACGGGATAAATAGATCTTTAAAATAATGTTTATAATTCATTAAACGCAATAAATGAAAGTTTATGATAGTTTAGTGTTTGTTTTAATAGAAATCCAGATATAGAGTCAAAATACCTGTTCAAATATCGTAATTTATAGACACGAGCGGTAGAGTTATCGCTCTTTTTTATGACGTCATTACATACAATTGCTGTATAGACGCCATTCCACAAAAAGCCGAGTATCAAATGAAGAGTTATCACTGAAAAATAGGTTAACTTAATCACACGGTGAAATTACATCAGAATTCCCCTAAAATGTTACATATATTTTAAACAACCTAATTGTTCTGGATAAGGGAAGGGGGAGTGTCCTCCCTACCACCCCCTCTCCAGTATCACGTATTCTACAAACCTAACAATGATCCTGCTGTGGATCTAAGGAACTTGGCATATAGAACTACACATGAAATTCACAAATATTACCGTGAAGGTATGTCCTGAATTTCAATACTATAAGGATTCTCATATAACCCCCCCCCCCAAAAAAAAATTTTTTTAAACTTTCTCTGTCATTGCTCTATAGTTAGCATTTCCCCAAGTATCATATAGCACTTTATTAGCTCACCTGAGTGAGCTTTTCTGATCACATATTGTCTGTAGTCCGTCTGTCTAGCTGTCTGTCTGTCTGTCTGTAAACTTATAACATTATTGCCAATTTCAACCAAACATGCCACATAGCATCTTTGGGTGAAGGCATTTCAAGTTTATTCAAATGAAGGGCCCCGTCCTTTTTCAAAGGGATATGATTAAAAAATAGTAAAAAATTGATGGCGTGTTTGAAAAATCTTCTTCTCAAGAACCACTACGTTGGGAAAGATTCAATGATTCAATTAATGTGGAAGCATATCCTCAGGTAATGTAGATTCAAGTTTGTTTAAATCACGACCCGCTGGGGTAGGGTGGGCCACAATAGGCGACCAAAGATTTACATTGGAATATATATAGGAAAAATCTTTAAAATCTTCTTCTCAAGAACAACAAAGGCATGTTTGCTCATATTTATAATTATATGGAAGCATCCCTAGGCAGTGTAGATGCAAATTTGATCAAAACTTGGCCCCCGGGGGTAGGGTGGGTCCAAGATGAAATTTCAAATTTATAGGGAAAAATTCCACAGTTACCGGTAGTCAAAGAAATATGTCAGCAAAGTAAGTGTAGATTCAAGTTATTTCAAATAAAAACCCATCCACCCCTTCCACCTTTTAGGGGTAGGTTGGGACCACATGCATTTTAAGCTTTCCAAAAATTAATTGACTTTTGCTTTTTTCCTAGCCACAGAGCTCAGGTGAGCGATGTGGCCCATGGGCTTCTTGTTTTTTTTTTATCCTGGTGTTTTGACTTTTTATTTTTTTCCCAAAAGTTCTGGTTCATTGTCCGTTTTAAGAATTACCATTACATCTTTAATATCCACAATTATTACTGTGTCTCACTGAAAACTCAGTGTATTGCTATTTAGTCTGGGTAGCGTTCAGGTGTGCTTTTAGACAGACAATGCGATATATAGATGTATGTGTTAACATGTGGAAAATTCAAATGATAATTAAACTAGCATTAGTAAGAAAATCATAACTATCTTTATTTTGAAAAAAAAAACGAATTTTTTCGCATAAACTAAAAGGCTATGCATATTTGGCATCACTGCTACATTGAGAATAGTAACATAAACTCTACATACTCAGTATCATTATGTACGTGGCCATCCATTGTTGTGAGGAAGTTTTATATCTGAAAGACACACTTTCAGTTTTCCTTATAAGAGCCCATACTTCAGAATGAGAAGATTATACTAGAAAAAAAAACCTTAAAAATGTCACAGTAGTCGACATTAAATACTTATCTTTTGGAATATGAGCCCGGGTATAAATTCTCATATTCAAAATAGATTTGGCGACTTTGATTGAAAAAAAAGTACTGGAGAGGGACGTTAAACAACATACAATGAATCAATCAATTAAATTAGATTTCATTTCTTTTGCTGTTCATCTAACAATGTTCAAACCAGGGAATTCAATTTGAAATTGGCTCCATGAACCTGGAGGAATCAACTGAAATTGTTAAACGTTTACAGGCACATGCCAGACTGTCTTCAGCAAGAAAATGTCATTCCGTGTCTTAAATGAAAAAGACATGCAGTAAAGTTCTAGCATTATTCGTACAGAAGGCAAGATCAAAGCATGCATGTCTTGTTACATAATCTTTCTTGAAGAAGCTCTTCCTCCCACAGATTTAAAGACACAATGTGATGCATCAACCTTATTAGAGTTATTGAAAAATACCTGTACATGTTTGTTAAAAGTTCTACAATCTTGCTGATTCAGCAATGAGATCTTATTTGATTTTTTTTCAAATGTTATACTTTTAAAATCTGAGTTTTCTTAATTGTGGTACACGCAAAACTATGTTTTTGCTTTCAAAGACTATATGTACTAACATATAGTTGAAATCAAAAGCAATATACAACGAAGAATTAAACATGTCAAATTAAAAAAAAAATTTTGAAGAACTTTATGCAGAGCGATATATGAAATGAGTTACAGTGCACTTTCTGGTGGAGAATGTTATCGATTTGAATCGCATTCCACCACTAATCACATCCGAGGTTGGTTGAGGATTGCCAATTGTAATAAACAAGAGGCCTATTGGCCTTATCGGTCACCTGAGTATCATGTAACAACTGTCCAAAAATTGAATTTAGTTCATATTTTAAACCAGAGGCCATGAAATTCACAATTTTGAAAGAGGCTTCATTGCTTATCATTACTATACACTTAGCATGCTAACTCTGATTACTTAATACCCAGAGGTGGATCAGAGTAACAAAAAGAAAATGAATTTCCACTTTATAACCAGGTGTGCACACCA